TATATTGATCATTTGGTGCACAATTAACCCAAAATCGGTTGAAGATATATGGGAGCTATATCTAAATCTTATCCGATTATCATCAATATCAATAGGGTTCGTCCTTGGGCCAAACAAATGTTGTTTGGAAAATTTCATCTTAATCGGATAATAAATGCGACCTGCATTTTGTTCACAAGAATACATGGACAGACGAACTGATATGCATAAATCGACTCAAAAAGAGATTCTATGAAGATCCTCAAAAGTAACTATGGATCTATCGCGCTTCTTTCTCCATGTTACAAACAAATGCACAAAGACATAATACCCTTACCACTGAGTGGTGTATAAAAAATTAAATCCGTTAAATATTCTATTAAAATGTTATATTGGGGTCTATGCGAAGACGTGGACCTGCATAGGCAACATTTTTCATAGACCATTACAATATTCAATCACGAAACTTGAAAAAATCCGGTGTATAATGCAGCTAAAATCATCAAAATATCGGGAGGTACAATTATATGTGGGCTATACGACCTCTATAGATAATTTTCTGAAGTACTTATTAAGAACTCCAAATACGAAATACCGGTGAATATTGTACCAAAAAACGTCAAATTGCCGAATATAGAGAGGTACCAATATATGGGGGCAATGCGAGAACGTGAACTTGCATAGACAATTTTTGTCACAGGCTGTTAGGAATATACCTAAAATCATCAAAATAGCGAATATAGGGATAAACTGATATATGGGGCCTATACGAAGACCTGGACCTGCATAGACAATTTTCTCTCATAGACTGTAGTACCATTTACGAACTCTAAATACGAAATTTGAAACAACTCCGGTGAATAATGTCCCTACAATCATCAATATACCGAATATTGGAAGGTGCCGTTATATGGAGGTTATACGAAGACGTAGGCCAGCATACGCATAGGCTGTTGGCTGTCATAGGCTGCAGTACCCATTACGAATTCTAAATATGAAATTTGAACCAACTCCGCTGAATAATGTCCTTAAAATCGTCAAAATACCGAATATAGGTAGGTACCGTTATATGGAGGATGTACGATATCGTGGAGCTATTTATACAGTACTCTTCCGGGAGGGGGGGGGGGGGGTTGGTCTGGTGTGCAAAATATTCAGAAAAAACTTCTTTTGTGCATTTTCATACAATACAATAATCAAAGTACGGAATATAGGGAGGTGCCGTTATATGGAGGATGTACAATATCGTAGACCGATATAGCCCACCTACGAACTTAGAATATAATTTTTTAGAAGTTTACGCTGATTTCGATGAGTTATAAATGGAATGACGAACTTAATATAAACTCCATTCTATGTATGATGGAGGGTATGAAAATATGGAAAAACTCTACAACATAGTGACCCACAAATACTAATTTTTAGTCATATTCGTGAGTAAATGGCATCGTTATGTGGTGCCTATACCAAAATGTGGACTTATATATGCAATGTTTCGCCACCGGAGTTAGAACCTATTTTAACCAACAAATACCAATTTTTAGACAAACCCATTAAAAAATGTGGCAAAAATCATCAAAATACCGAATATCGGGAGGTACCGTTATATGGGGGCTATACCAAAACGTGAACCTAGACATGTAATGTTTCGCCACCGCATCTCGAACCCACTATGACCAACAAATACCAATTTTTAGACAAATCCATGAAAAAATGCGGTAAAAATCATCAAAATACCAAATATCGGGAGGTACGGTTATATGGGGACTATACCAAAACGGACCGATATATGTAATTTTCAATACCAACCATCCTAGACACAATACAAATTATTCTGCTAAATTTTGGCGCTCTATGTCAAATAATGTGGTCTGTATCGTGATTCCAACAGACAGACAGACAGGCGGACATCGTTAAATCGACTTAGAATTTTATGCTGATTATGAATATCTATACATTATGGGGGTCTACGACGAATATTTAGACATATTACAAACGGAATGACAAAGTTAATATACCCTCCTTTCCAAGGTGGAGGGTATAATAAAGCCTATATACATAATGTTCTGTAACCGGGAGTGGAAACTAATACGAACTACTACTAATACCAAGTCTTAAAAAGATCTCTCAGAAAATAATGACAAACCGTCACAACACGAAATATTGGGAGGTACCCTTATATAGACGATGTTCTTCTATTGGAAGCAATACACTTTACAAACACTAAATGTTCAATTTGAAAAAAAAAAAAAAATGTGGATAAAATTATCAAACTACAGTTCCGTTATATGGGGGCCATAGGAACCCACTAGAAACAAAACACCCCTGTGTACTCTTAATATCGAATATAAAATAATTCGGTTAGAAAATGTGTGGTTTATAATAATATCTCAATTCATTCAATTTTTCGCTGAATATACACAACGTGGGGTCTGGTGTGATTACTTTGAGGTGTTACAAATGGAATAACAAAGGCAATATATCTACCATAGTATGGTGGAGTGTATAAAAATAAATAATACAAATGTATTCTTTATATTTCGAAAAAAATGTCCTTTCGTGCTTCATCTGCAAAAAATATATTTAAAGTATATATTTTAAACTTCTGATTTAATAAAACCCGGATCTCATGGAATGTAAAAAAAACTCTGCCAATATCTATATCTAAAAAGAGGAAAATGTTTGTACGTTTGTTTGTTTGTTTGTTTGTTTGTTTGTTTGTTTGTTTGTTTGTTTGTAAATTATGGACTCGAAAACTGCTGAATAGATTTTTCTGAAAATTTCCATATATACTGCAACATCGCCTGAAAGTAACATAGGCTATATACATTTTTGAATTTCCACTTGGAACTGGAGATATAGCATCAGAATCGGAGGTACCTCCCAAAAATTTAGATTTTATATGCACATATCTATTGATCGGTTAAAGATACAGTATACAAATTTGGAATGTGTAACGGAATTTGGAACAAAAATATGTTTGCTAAATTATATTGTAATCGGTTCAGATTTGGATATAGCTCCCATATATATTTTCGACCGATTTCGTTCATTTGATGCCTCAAACACAATATGAATGTTCGCTTCCAATGAAATTTGGAATATGTGACGGGATTTGATCCGAAAATAATTTGTCAAATTATATTGAAATCGGTTCAGATTTGGATATAGCTCCCATATATATTTTCGGCCGATTTCAAGCATTTGATGCACCAAACACGCTATGTATCCCCAATTTCAATGAAATTTGAAACGTGTGATAGATTTTATCTAAAAAAATTTATTTCCCAAATTATATTGAAATCGGTTCAGATTTGGATATAGCTCCCATATATATTTTCGACCGATTTCATGTATTTGGTGGACCAAATAAGATATGTATGTCCAAATTTAATGAAATTTAAAATAAGTTACGGAATCGGGAGCAAAAATGAATTTTTCAAATTATATTGAAATCGGTTCAGATTTGGATATAGCTCCCATATATATTTTCGACCGATTTCATGTATTTGATGCACCAAACACGCTATGTATCTCTAATTTCAATGAAATTTGGAATCTGTAGGGGAAATTAAAACGAATATACATTTGTCAAATTATAGTAAAATCGGTTCAGATTTGGATATAGCTCTCATATATATTTTCGACCGATTTCATGTATTTATGCACCATGCACGATATGTATGTTCGATTCCAAAGAAATTTGGAATATGTACGGGATTTTTATTAGAAAATAAATTAGTCAAATTATATTAAAATCGGTTCAGATTTGGATAAAGCTCCCATATATATTTTCCGCCGATTTCACATATTTGATGCACAAAACACGATACGTATTTCCGATTCCAATGAAATTCGGCATGAGTGGCTAAATTTGGTACAAAAATAAATTTGACAAATTATATTCAAATACGCTCAGATTTAATTATAGCTCCCATATATATACTCAGCCGATTTCACATATTTGATGCACCCAAAGCGAGAAAGACGAAATCTGGCACCAGAAAAAATTGCCAAATTTTATTGAAATCAGTTGAGGTATTTAAATCGGATCAGATTGGGATATGATTTTAATAAGAACCATTGACCCACAACGCCTTAGGCTAACACTAAAAAACAACACAACAATTAATTTGAAATACGCTTATTACTGCGAAGTATGTTGCTATCTCGAATTCATTAATTGCAACAGAAATGCCACTCAACTTCAAAGATTGCAGTTTACTGCACGCTTGGTATTTGCTATGAATAAATAAATCCGAAGGACAAACCCTTCGTGTATATATGTCATGTTACTGTTTTTCTAATGGTTTTGTATATTTACGCATTAAAGTAGTGCAATAATTTTTTTTTTTAATTATAAAATTTGTTTTTTTTTAACCAACATATATTCGTAAATAAAATTTTGACTGCATATAAAATCAAAAGGGGTAGCGAAGCGCACCGGGTTCAGCTAGTATAATATATACATAATAATCTTAACATCAGGTGGTACGCTCCGCAATTACCTCTTTTGCGAGAATGTTTCATAAAATGACTCATATTTTTGTTTTGTTTTTAAATAAAGCCACACAAAAAACAAAAACCAGAAGATAAAAATGTAAATGTGGCACATTTATACATGTGTATGTGTGTGCGCTCTGTGCGAATTTACAGTGTGTTTGTATTATTCCATTTATTTTTACAAAAGGAGAACAACATTTTTTCTTTCGATAATTTTTGCTATTGTTTGCATATTTCTTTCAATTCATACACAAAAACCTTAAACCAACAAAGCCAAGTTTATAGAGAACAAAAACAACATAGCTTGGACCCAACACTTGACCATAACGAATGACGTTAACAGCAGGCTCACCACTGGGACAAAAACTATTCCAATCTATATATACACACACAAACATACCTACACACACTCACCTTTTTCACAATCAAGACCAAAAAGTTGGAAACATAATGAAACGTTTTCCGAACAATTCTTACAACGTATTCTTTTCTTTTTCTTCTCCGATGCATAATTATAGGTTTTGGACTACACCCAGTACTACATGGATTTGCAGAATGCCAATCTACTGGGAGAGCCGAATTGGGTGCCAGAATACAACCTGACACACTACTATGCCCTAAGTGATATATCAGCGATTTCGTTGCACAATTTTGTGGATCGCTTTACCAGCAACGATGGATCCTGGTTTGCCAAGTAAGTTCATTCTTTCATTCGTCCGCCCGTTCGTTCGTTGAGTCGTTTTGTTTATCTCCCTGTGTTCGTTCCTGTTCTTCATTTTGTATAAAATTTGAATTGCTAACATATTTTTTCCAACATACTTTTGCGAGTTTTAACCGCCTGTCTGTCTGAAGGCACTTCACAGCGTCCCTTCGGGCAATGAAAACTTAAATTTTGTATGAAAGGTTGTCGTAAAGTTGAAGTTGGGGGTATAAGAGTTGGGTGGGCAGACTGATTTGATGTTCGGAAAAACGGGCACGAGTACTGTTTGTAACAATTTCACTTCTGTTGTTGTTGCACCAAGTTTACCATCCGTTGCCAAATGTTTGTTTATGCTAATTTTCATAGAATCGAATTTTAAATAGATATTACAGTGTAACTATTTGTACGAAGGCAATTTGCCAATTACATTAACCGACAAAAAAGACTGGGAAATAAAAATTTGGCTAGTGTGGACTTGAGAAGCATTTTTTTCTTTAATATGTAGACGGTAATTATAACTAAAATTTCAAAGATTTTAAGGGGGACATTAAGCTATTTATAATATAAGTTATAAATTGAACCAGGACAGAAAGTCCTAAAGTCGGGCGGGGCCGATTTTATGATACCCTACACCACTTTGCTAATTTAGTTGAGCTCCACATAACAATTAAAAGTTCTTATGGGAGAATTCAGTCATACACCCTTGATTATAATTGAAAATTCAAAGTACTAAATATGCCGAAGCATTTGTATCTTTTAAATTCGGACTTATATTGCTCATTTGGTGCAAAATTAATTTGAAATCAGATAAAAAATATATATGGGAACTATATCCAAATCTGAACCGATCTCGATAAAATTTAGCAAAGGTATTTCCGAGCTGCATTTGATATATTTCCCCAAATATTGTTGTTACAGAGTGCATATTACGGGTGCGGAGGACAAAAATAACAAATCGGATGAGCAATATATATGGGAGCTATAGCTATATCCGAACCGATTTCGATCAAATTTGGCACACTTATTTTCAGGCGGACGGACAGACGGACTGACATGCATAAATCAACTCAGAAAGTGATTCTATGCCGATGGGTCTGACTCGTTTCCTTTTGCCTGTTACAAACTGTAAAAAGGGCATTAGTTACGGTCTGGTCGAACTTTTAATACCCTCCATAAATGCCTCTCCAATGAATTGGGGCTATACAAAAACGTATTCCTTTATAAGTAATTTTTATTCAATGGCTGTAGTACCGATTTCGAACTTCAAATACGAAATTTTGAAACAATTCCCGTGAATAATGTCGATAAAAGCATCAAAATACCGAAAATCGGGAGGAGCTATATGAAAACATGGACCTGCATAGATAATTTTTTGTCATAGGTTGTAGTACCTATTACGAACTTCAACAACGAAATTTCAATTAATTGATTAATTAATTAACAAGTCCTTTTAATAATGCCGCTAAAATAATCAAAATACCGAAAATCGGGAGGTATCGTTATATGGGCGCTATACGAAGACGTGGACATACATGGACAATTTTCTGTCATTGCTTGCAGTATTTATTGCAAATTTCCAATACGAAATTTGAAACAATTCCGGTAAATAATGCCACAAAAATCATAGAAAATATCCAATGTTGGGAGGTATCGCACTATGGGGCTATACGAAATCGTGGACCCACATGACCCATCACGAACTTAACGTGCCTACTCGCAAAAGAAACATATATGCAAAAATTTGAGCCTCTATCTCAATTCGTTAAATCGACTTAGAATTTTACGCTGATCAGAACAGATAAAGTTAATATACCCCAGATTGTTGGGTGGAGGGTATGAAGAAGCATTAAGTACGGTCTGGTCGGTCTTCTGACACCCTCCACCATTAGGGATTGAGAACATGACCGATTGCATCCGTTCCGAATAATTATACCCTCAGCAGAATGGCTACTGATGAAATGTATTATTTGATACGGCCAAAATTTCTGCCTTTCTATCTATTTGTGCATACGATAACCCTGGAAGTTGGTAACCGATTTTGCACCAAATTAATACATTCCAATATTTTACCAAACTTAGATCGAGTTCTTGGATGGAAACTAACGGTACACTCCTTCTGGTATCTTCTGGCTAAGGCCAGAGCTTTGAAATTTTGCACGAAATTCAGTCTTGTTGCGTAGGCGTGTGATGGGTTTTGTAAATTCGTACTAAATAAATACGAAAACTACTAAATTATATTAAAAATTGAATATTTGGTATTGGGCAAACGGAAAGAAATGTGGAATAATAGTCTCTGATGGAGTGCAGGATAGGTAAACCAAAGGGTTTTTGAAACCTTAATCTTGACGGTTATGAGAAATTTTAATATGGAACTAATTTTCTAAAATTGAACTATTTTTCTAAAATGGTACCATTTGGTATTGTGGGAACGGATAGAGCTAAAAATTGGAAATTTGTTATGACAATTAATCTTGGAAAGTAAGTTTGATGTACGAAGGCGGTTTTGGAAATATGTACTAAGGTACAAAATTTGGAAATGTTTTGTGAAGAGTGAACAGATGAAGCTGCGATTTTAAAATTTTGTATTGGCGTTCCTTTTGTTTGTTGGTTTGTGATAAAGAGGTGTCTTTGGAAATGGGTGCTACAAGCGCACGAAATGTACCAAATAATACTATATTCGGTACAATTTGGTAATGGGTGAACATATGGTGTTTAAAGTCCGAAATTCGGTATTAGGGTCGCTGTTCATGTACAGCTTGGGCATATTTAGGCGGTTTCCGAAATGTGTACTATTATTGTACAAAAAGTGCTGAAGGTGCTATATTTGGTATTGGGTGAAGGGATGGAGTGGCAATTCTGAAATTTGACATTCAGGTCTCGGTTGTTATCAAGGATTGAGATATGGTGGAGGTGGCTTTGGAAATGTATACTATAGTTTTTCGAATAGTGCCAAATTTGGTGTTGGGTGAAGGGTTAAAGTTTGTATAGATGTCCCTGTTGGTATCTGTGTTTAAGATATTGTGGTGGTTTTGAAAATGCGTCCCATATTTGTATGAAAAGTACTAAATGGTACTACATTTGGTATTGGATGAAGGAATAGAGCTGCAATTCTGAAATTTGATATTGAGGTCTCTGAGACTCTGTTTGTATTTGGGTTAAGATATGGAGCTGGTTTTGGAAATGTGAACAATATAATCTTTTTTTGAAAAGTACTAAATGATACAAAATGTATATTGGGATAAGGAGCTGCAACTCTGAAATTATGAAGTTTAGATCTAAGTCTCTAGGGTTCTGTTGGTATTTGGGATTGATATAAGGAGGTGGTTTTGGAAATGTATACAATAAGTTTTTGGAAAAGTTCTAAATGGTACTAAATTTGGTTTTTGGCTGAAGGGGACAGACCTGAAATCCAAAAAGTTGATATAGATGTCCCTGTTTATATCTGGGATTGAGATTAGGAGGTGGTGTTGGAAATATGTACTATAATCTTACGAAAGGTACAAAAGAGTACTAAATTTTGGTATAGGTTGAAGGAATAGACCTGAAATCCTAACAAGGATATATATGTCCTTGTTTCTGGAAATGTTTTTAGAACAATGATAGTACAATTGTTCGGAAAGTACTTAGTGGTACTAAATTGACTATTGGGTGAAGATATGGAACTGGAATTCCTATATATGATATTGATGTCTCCATTGATATATAGGACTGAGTGTAGAAGGTGGGCTTGAAAATCCATTGTTCGAAAAGTACTAAATGGTCCTAATTTGGATCATTGTTGGTATATAGGATGGAGAGATTATTTTGGATATGCTTACTAAATGTTGCTAAATTTTGTATTGGGTGAAGGGACATATCTGATATTCTGAAATGTGATATTGGGGCCATTGTTGGTATTTCGCGTATACATTTGGAAAAGTTGAAATAGTTTTAGACAAAAAATTGCATGTGGCTTCCCTGTGCTATGGTTTTACATTTCCTCCTCGCTTAACTTCAAAATTAAAGAAAACATTCTCCTATTAGTCCATCCGAAGAAGGAAAAAAATTGAATAATATATAGCACCTTGAAGGTCTGAAAATTAAGAACGATGCATGAAGTTTTGATTATTTGCTTTTTACAAACTGAACAAATTATACATTTGAGAACCTAAAAGGCCTAACATCTGTCTTTTGGAACGAATCTGAAATGTTGAGGTGGATTTTTCGCTGACGAAGTACCGAATACTTGTTAGTATTTAGGTAAAATATATTAACAAGCAAAAAAGCTGTAAGTTCGGCCGGTCCGAACTTTGAATATCCTCGGCCATTTGGGAACAAATTTGGGAATTTTCAAAAAAAAAATAAATAAATAAATAAATGAATAAATAAAATCCATTAAAAATTCTGTTAAAATCTTATAAACACCGAATGTAGCCGTTATATTGGGGTCTATACGAAGACGTGGACCTGCCTAGACAACTTTTGTCATGAGCCACTACAATATTCAAATGCGAAACTTGAAAAAAAGTCGGTGAATAACGTAGCTAAAATCAAAAAAAAAAAAAAAAAAAAAACAAATATCAGGATAACTCCTATTATATGGGGGCTATACCAAAACGTGGTACAGATAATTTTTGCCATAGCTTGTAGTATCCATTACGAACTTCAAATACCAAATTTGAAACAATTCCTGTGAAAATCATCAAAATACCAAAAATCGGGAGATACCGTTATATGAGGGCTATACGAAGACGTGGACCTTCACAGACAATTGTCTGTCATATTCTGTAGCATAAATTACGAACATCAAATACCACATTTAAAACAATTCCGGTGAAATGGGGGCTATATATGGGGGCTATACGAAGACTCGTGCTGTCATAGGCTGTAGTATTCATTACGAACTTCAAATGCCAAATTCGGAGAATAATGTCGCTAAAATCATGACAGTACCGAATATCGGGAGGTACCGTCAGACGAAGACGTGGACCTGCACAGACAATTTTATTTCTTAG